CCTACACTGCTTGCTGCCAAATGCATTATCCAAAAGTCCTTTGAAATTGCCAAAGAGAGTGTTCTGTGTATATTTTTAACTTTTATATAAAGAGCATGCTATGCCAGATTTGTGCTTTACTGCCCTAACCAATGTTACCCACAAGAATATGGTAAAAAGAACGATACATTCTAGAACATTGTCTAAAATGACATCAAATTGAAGTTCTAAGGACACCTCTAGCCTGTCATCCAATTTATAATCTTCCCTGACTACGTAGTAACAGTAGTAAAGGCACTTAAAAGGAGAGAAGGTGGAAAAAACAAACACAAAACGGAAAACCAACCTTTCCTATTTCTTTCTTCATGATAATTCTCCAAGTAGTGCGTCAAGTAGTCTTTTTCTATCTTGTATTTGGACCCATACAGGCTCTGCATCTTTAAATGTTCTTTCTGATCCTGAGAATGGAAAGGTTGGCTTAAATCCCTCCGTGGGGAAAAAGCCCAGCCACAACTGAGGAAGACAATGGAGTCCCACGCTGGGCTCTGAGAAGCATCTGTATGACTCAGAATATTTCCTAGAGATGAAGGCTACAGTACAGTTGAGCAGCTGACTTGTTACTTTAACAGAGAGCAAATTATTGCTCAAAAAACTCCAACAGAACAGAGAAGCATCATTTGCAACCCTGGAAAAAACTGACCCCTTTCAGTCCCACTCACTTTCAGAAAGAGGAAGAATTTTTCCCTTCTGTTATTCTGTCGCAGTTGTGCTGAGCCATGCAGGGGTTTAACCTTTAAAGTCATGACATGTAAGAGAAATACCCGCACGCATGAATCTAGTTGGATTTCCTATATAACATATGCCTCAAAGTGAAACAGTTAAAAACAACTTCTCTGCGCACATGTCAAATTTTTTCATCCAGAATCACTATCAAAAAGAAGACATACAACATGTATTTCTTTGTACATTTCAAGGAGGGGCCCAGTATCATGCTGAGACATGTTCATCAATAATTGCTTTCTTTTTCTTGCTTACTCAGGCAGTATGAAACAAGTTGTCCCACTTTGTTTGGCGGCATTACTACAAACAGAATGCCTAGTTTGTACATCTAATTGTGAAAAACAAGAACCCTCCTAACTCTGCTCTAGAACACAGAGTTTCCAAAATCATTATAAAGAACCCACATGCAATAGAGTTTAGACCAACAACAACAACAAAAAAAACAAACAACAAAAACATAGATGAAAATTTAGAACTACCTAGAACCTGACACTGTAGGTTCAAAAGCTGGAACCTGATCTCTGAAGTTATGTACTTCTTTAGTTAATTAATACCCACCGCCATCCATTTGCAAACATACATCAGAGAACTGGTGAAAATTACAGCAGCAGTATGTCTAATGCTACGGCTGATCAGGTGTTTGTGCAAAGCTTTCTGGCAAAAAGTCTTGGCATGCTGACATCTTCATATTCAAAGTCAACTCCTACGGGATTTTCTACCAAAAATCCTAACTTTCATAGCCCCAGTGTTCTAAGGACTGCAGCCCATGTGCTCATTACTCATTCTCTCTGGCTAAAGCTGTAAACACGGCTGCAGTCTTTCAACCACATCAACCTATTTTCTGCCTCAAGAACCTCATCATGTCTCTCTGGAGTCACAACCTAGACAAATTCCCAAACTTCACAATCCTCTGCTTTGAATTTATTAAACCAGTAAGATTTCTTATTATTTATCCTTCTCATTATTTATCCTCTTTTAACATAATACAGCAGTATTCACACCACTTCAGTTGATCACATCATACCAGCATTTCAAATGTGTATAGAAAGGCTTTCTTATGAGATGAAAATATAGAGAAAATGTCCTAGTGGACCTTCTGAATATGCAAACCAGTACTTTTAAATTGCCATTCTGCTTGCTACCTGCACAAGTTTAGCTTAGCACTTAGCTGCTAATGTGAATTTAGGATTTTCAGTGTACTCTGGTGCAGCTAGAGTAACATGGAAAATCCATCTTATTTTGCAGTTTTTGTATATAACTGACATGAATGTTTCTCTTTTTCTCCATGTCTAGGATCAAATTATAAAAAAGATTCTACCCAGTCTCCAGTTCTTCAAGTGGAGACTGAATAGTCGTATCTTCTCTACACAAAGAAAGTGACAGTCAATCCAGGAAAAAAGGATGTGTTAATATCTAACTTTGTCACATTCGAGTGATGCTTTCAACCAACAGCAAACTTTGGTTTTGTGTTTCGTACATGGCAAATGAACAAGGATTATGCTAAGTGAATCTAATATGACTGCATCAACTTTCACTTTAGTAGACAGAGGGCCCCTTAGTGTATTCTGTGTGACAGTTCTCACCCAAGAAAAACCAGAGTTTTGCCAAGAGTTTATAAACATCCTTGACAGAACCTCAAAAATTATTCAGAGGTTTCAAAGTCGTGGCTCCAGAGCAACACAAACCATCTAGAGATTGCCATAGTCGTGAAATAGCCACATAAAATACCACAAGATTTAAATCTTCTGAAATGAAAATTCAAAACAGAAAATCTCCTTTTCTCTACCAACTAAATATACTGTGGCCCTGCCATGCTGTCATAAAAGTATGTCATATTCAATAACAAGCACAAAGAACAGGATGCAGGAAATATTTCCATTGTACAAATATATTCTGAAGTTATCTTCAGCTTTTGATGATGATTCACTGTGTATATTTCCAAGGAGTTCTTGTGGTATAATAATAAACAGAAACTCATAATCTTAAACTTTGCGTATTGCAGTTTGTGGCTTAACTCAATTAAGTACAGTCAAGCATATTTTTCCTCTAGGTGGCTGCAGAGCATTTAAAAAATTGCTAGCTCCAGATAGAATATGAAATAGAGAGAGTAAAGGAAAGAGTAGACAGGAGACTACAACTCAGAAAACAGCCTAACTCCTCATCTTCCTTCCTTTACAAAGCAGAAGCCAAAATCTCATTTCAGCAGTCAGGCTCACAGTGAGCATGTCATACTTTCACATTCACATTGCATTTCATCTCAAATACTTCACACTTTGCTCTTCACCAGAGATAACAGGACTTGCAAGAAGTGGCACAAGAGCCAGCTTATTTGTTCAGAAAACACTCTCTTCCTGGTTTTATGACTTCCTGTGTGGTCTTGGCCCAGACCCACAGGAAGATGTAGGCACATTAAAGTATGATTTAGGTAGAGTTCATACACCCAATTCCAAAAGTGTGGTCCTGGCTCAATTGCCCTGGCAAGGCATCCTGGCACTGCTAGAGACACAGTACCCGCTTTTACATTCTTTGTACACATATGCTTTTATTCCACATGTTCCTAAGGTGGCATGGGCAATGGCAGGCAGAAGCCCAACTGGCATCTCAACCCAGAGGGCATCAGTGCACAGAGAAGTGCTGTCTAACAGCAGAGGCAACGCTGCCATGGTTCTGTTCCAGATTCAACAGATCAGGGAGTGAGTGTAACAGTTCAATAGTGACCCAGCACTCAGCCAGGAGGCAGAAGCCTGGCTACTAATGGCTGAGCTCTGAACAGTTTGTCTTAGCCTGCACTTCATGCCTAGAAAGCTTTTGATGAGTGGCACTCTGCAAGGTACCACAGTCGTTTAATCTTCTTAAGTGCAAGATCTCAACTGTAAAACACCATACAGAGCCTGAAAACACTGTTTGTGAAGTGCTGGCTCCAGTGAAATCAATGGGAATTTTCCTACTGGCAACACAGGAGCTAAGACCCAAGACTGTCATCAGCCTTTTTTGCTGTACTTCAAGGCTTTGAAGGATCCAGACTCTTTCAGGGCATGGCTATACATTAAATTCAATCTTCCTGAATTAAAATGCTGTGAATTAAAATTTCCTGTACTAGACATAGTGACTCCACAACACATTGGCCTTGCCTGGGAGCCACAGGAACCCACATAGATGTTGTAAAGTCAAAATGACCTAATTCTGGGTGAGGTGGAATGAGATGATGTGAGGATACAGAGCCAAGGTTTGTTCTCCTTCACGACAAACTTACCTTTCAGAGTGTTGGCTTGGGCACAGTAATTTACTCGGCTAAATACAAAGAGACCTCTGATGTGAATCAGCAAGTCTTTAAAGAGAAATACTGGCCTTGACCACGAGCAAACCCTCCCTATCACAAAATGATCACAATTTCATTATCTCCACACTTTCGAAATATTTTCTTGCTACTTCATTGGTGATGACCAGTGCCGAAGGTAATAATATTACTTCTGAGGTTTGTTTCGTATAAAAAGTCCTGAACGTGTAAGTTTGATTTTGCTCCTTTTTGTTGGCTAGGCAGAGACTCTACAAAAGAGGTCTGTGCCTGTTGTTAGCCACTCTGAGCACACTGCCTGATGGAGCCATAAAGCAATTCATTCTCCATCACTTTTCTCTCTGCAACGTCTTCCTGGCCTTTCCTCACAACAGCAGAGAAACCTCAACGTTGTACCAATTTGTTTTGAAGCTTGCTGTCAAACTTGGCAGTGGTTTCAAGCTACTTTCAAGCTTTCTCACCAAAGTCTGTGGGCAGAAATTTTCGACTGGCTACTCCTTTCAGCCTTCAGAAACAAGGATGCGGCACAGCTGTGGTGAAGCAGCAACACAGCACAGCTCCTAAAGAGAAGCCCAGCTGGCAGGAGAGGGAAATACAGAAGGAAGAGCTGTTACTGGAGGTTACACAGGCTTCATAGCTCATGCTCTCCCTGAGTCCTTCGGAACCACGACGTTTGGAGTCTGTACCCCCGGGAGGCCACAGATTTCTTCGCTCTGAGACGAGCATGTGGCATCTTAGTAGTTTGCTGCTCCCATGGATCTTTCTACAGGTGAGAAGCCTGAGGGCCCATGTGAAAGCATGGGCGGATTAGCTCTGTCAAAACAAAGATCCTGATTTTGTGCCAGTAAGGGAAAAAAAGGAGGCAGCAGGGAAAATATAAAACAGAGTGTATGATATATAGAAGGAAAATTGTTTTTTAATAGAATCTTTTCAAAGTTTTCCATTAAACTTCAGTTGCTTGCAGTGCAAGTTTTGGAATGCAACTCCCTCATCCCCTCAGGATGGTCTGCATTTTATTATGTTAGTTAGGAAGCCTAGCTTAGTCTTAGCAGAGCTACTGTACTAAACATTTCAATCTCAAGCCAGTGTGGCAGTAAAAACCCCTCCTGACTGATTTTCAGCCACTATTTTGGGGCCAGTAATTTAACACATTTTTTATCACGTGCAGAGGAAATGTTTATTACCAAGCAATAAGTAAACCAGAACTATCACATCATAATGAATGAGAGGATATGCACTCAAATGTTACTTGTATGATCAATAGATTTCAGCTGAGACACCTAACCAGAATGAGCAAAGGGATATATCAGAGGAGGTGGTGGTCGTGAGTCAATGGAGATGAACTAAGTAACAAGAGAGCACTAGAAGCTCTTCCCTTTCTTCCTTCCTTCTTTCCCTCCTTCCCCATTTCAGTAATGCAGGAATACGTTAGGAATGTTAGGAATAGCTGTGCTGAAAGTAGGGGAAGGCAGTCACAGAGGAAACAAGCTTGGAAGCTGGATGAGAGGCAGTGCCATAAGTCTGCCACAGGGGAGCATGCGAGGGTGTGGAATGCGCTGTTATACATCCATCATACATGAGTCCCATCTTCTCAAGGTGCATCATCTGCAGACTTCAGTAAAGTTTGTGCCTTCTGATTTGATTCCTGACAAATTCTTCAAAAATGGCTATAGACAGTGATGTGGTTTCTCTGAAGTGATTTCTCTGGATGCAGTCAGCTTTGAACCACTGCTTTCTCAGTTTCTTCTGGAGATATATGGCCAGGACTCATTTCTCTGAGCTGCAACATGGCGGTCCTTGAATGGTGTCTAGAGAGATCTATTCTTCAAAATAATGCAGAAGAAACACTTCAGTATGTGTATGTATGTATCTGTGACTTTGTGTATGGGTATTCAGATTTGATCCTTTTCTGCTGCTAAGTAAGTAATATAATAGTCTGTGCATTGCATTTCAGGTTAGACAGCCATGTTTACTCAGTTGCCCTTCCTGTGTTGCACTTGATATTTTTCTGTTTGCTAGAATAACAGCACAAGAGGATCACAAATTTTAACAATGATTTCCTTACCAAATAGGTTGATGAAATCATCTAACACTTCCATGGAGATTTGTGCATCTCCACGTGGATGTCAACTGTTGTCAGACCATACTTCTGCTAGTAAAGAATAGCACCATGTATGCATTCAGAGTTTCTTCATATCTTAACATCGTCTTAGGGAGATTATATTATTGTTAACGTCAAACCCAGTGGTTCTTAGAGGTCCCTTTATGTAACAGTAGCAGCAGCCATGGAAAGAAAGAATCAGGAGGCAACATAGTTCTTGATCCCATCTGGGCGAGGAGTACAAAGGGAATCATCACGTCTGTGTGAAGAGAGTGATGGTGATGGAATATTAACAGAAGAGGCCGAGTCCCCAGAGTCAAACACTGTGGGAATGAGTAAAAGCCACAGAAGGAAATGGAGGCTAAAGAGAAAGGCCCAGTAAATAGCTGCAGATGCTGTCATCTGAAATGCGGGCTGAACCAACGAGGATGTAGTCGCACACTCATGTAGCACCTACTAGCCTTGAAAAAAAAGTGAAAAAAGCAGCCTCACTGGTGGAGGAATATTCCTTTTAAGATCAAAAGTCAAGCAGCAATAAAATCCGTGTCAAAAAACATAGACGGAGGAGGTTGTGCATGCTCACTTGTGAACATCTGCACAGAGAAGCCTCTTAAGTAACCATGCAACAGCATGGAAGAAACATCTGCAGTGTGTAGACCACCAGCTGTGCAGTAATAATACTTTGAATATCCAGAGTGCCTTTCATCTGAATACTGCAAAGCATTTTCCAAACAAATTAAGCTTCGCAACACCACTGTGAGCTTCTTATTTAATGGTAGGATTATTTCATCCTGCACCAAAATGCTATTGCCGCCAGAATGAAAAGTAACACCTGTTTATCATCTCGCAGAAATGAACAATTTTCATGATGAGAAGTGACAAAAAGGCTGTAAGTTAAAGTGCAGGAAGACTTGAGGTAGCCAGAATTAAATGCTTAGAAATTAAAACAGAGTATTACCCCCCCTTTATTTGTTATGCAAAGTGTAACATTAATTTTTATGCCCACATGCTCTTACTCTTCGGTCTTTATTTCACACTGGGAAGAGAAGACTTCCTTGAGTGCATACTTGTTGTATACAGATGTGCTAAGAAGTACAGAGCATACCTTTCTTGGTTGTGTACACTCAATAAAATGTATTGCTGTGCACTGCAAATAGCTTTCCTTTGTACTCCTTCAGATCTGTTTTTATAAGCCATCTTGGTGGTTATATTAGAGCACAGCCTTCCAAGACAGCATGCCATCTTGTAAGTTCTAAAACAAATTTCTTGCTGTGTGCTTTCAGCCCCATAGGGTACCCCATGTAAGTAGTTCTATCCTGACGCTGCTGGATTTGCAGGATTTGACTCAAGCACAAGGAGAAAGGCTGAAGAATGTGTCACTTGCAGATAGGAAATATTACAGACACCCCATTATGTTTTCCTCTCTCTGCCTAATATATCCACTTTTCAATCGCATTGAAATGTTAGTGGAAGAAACAGTTTGATGAGCAAATTATAGCAGCAAAAAAGACTAGCTACAATTAAGTTATGTACTGGCAGAACGATGCATATATCAGATAAGCCATTCGAGTTCTTCTAAGTTAAAGAAGTATACATCTTTAAAATGTAAAATGAGTTTATCTATGCTAGACACCAGCATCCTAGGTTCTTCACCTGCAGGAAAGGCTTTTTACTATAATGGTTAAGTTGAAAAATAGCTGGTCTTGCAAATGGATAACTGAATTTTAATGTCCAAAAACCCCTAACAATGTCTTAAGCAAAAAGCTCTAGCTTCATCTAAAGAGTCTATTTTATAAATATCTACAATGATTATGTCCAAGCTGGTTCCATCTGGGCATGTGGTTAACCTCAGACCAACTTCTCCCTTCTTCTGAGAAGCTGGTTATAGGAGGACACTGCCTGGCTTGAGAAAAGAAGGCTCTTTCATGGTTAAGATTTTCCAATAACACTCAGTGTTGGTATAACTCTGTCCTGTTGAAGCCCAGGGTGAAATTTTTTGTCTGCAATGCCAGGTAAGGTTGGCCAGTACCAGCTGCTTTTGACGTCTCATCCTACACGACCAGCTCTGAAAACGTTCTCTCATACTTACACACTGATTTTTCTCCAAAAAGAGCTGTTTCTTTTCTCCATGGATGCAACTGAACACCTGTGCCAAGTTACTTACTATCCCGCCAGGACTGACTACTTCATTTCAAATAAACCATAAAATGGCATGAATTACTTGGGGAGAATTAAATGTTCCCTTTCAGTACATGCCTTCATTAGTTTTTTTTCCCCTTGTATGCCCGTTTTGTATGTTTGTTTTGTATATGACTTTCCTCAACCAGATTTCAAAATAGTGAAGATCAACTCTTAAAAATAAAAGATATCCTTCTCAGTTCTATCATATGTAGCATCACAAATAGCATAAGCAGCCATCTACTTTTTGATACACGATCTCAACCAGCCTACAGCCTCACCAAACTCATGCCAACAGTATATGAAAGTGCTAGAGACTTTGAAAGGTTTCTGTCTGCTGGAATATTAGCATTTCTTACTAAGATCTATTCCATTTTATTTTCTGAGACACATAATTTGAGTTTTATTTTGTGTTTCGGTTTGCATAAAACTCAGAACAGATATGGTAACAAAGTTGAGACCTAAGCCATATACTCACCAGTTGAAATGATACCATTGCATTTCCAAGACAAGGAGAACCAAAATCTTTGATTCCAGACCCTACATCTGTTCCAATTTAGTAACAAACTAAACTCATTCTCCATCTCCCATAAGCATATCCACACATACACACAATGGAACACTCAATTTTAAGGACATTTGCCTCTGGATCCACGTTGGGCCACTGCTAGATTCCAGACACAACCATAAATCAGTTCAGTTTCACTAGAAAGAACAGAGATTCAAAGAGAGCTCCAGGCAAGGATCTCTACCCAGCTTTCCTAGCTTCAAATCTGGCTCTGTGGTAAAACGTTATATTTATTTTCAGCAGCAGAATAATATCACTTACATTCACAGTCTCACCAGGGACAATTTATGAGATATTTCCCTTAATCCCTCCTACATCTGGTCCTTCACAAAGCTTGCATCTTTCTTTAGAAACAGCATGAAAAATGCTAATTCTGCTTTGAACCTTCCATTTTACAAATACAGTAGCAAGAAGAACAAGAATTGCTGGCAAGGTCAGCAAGGCAGAGCCTCTGCTCTAGGGACACTGGAGGCCATGAGCTTGCCTGACCTCATGACCAGACTCAGTTCCCTACTGCTCAGGCTCAGAAAATGCTCTTCTCCCTTCTCTTTCCATTCAAATAGAACCTGAAATTTAAGGAAAACAAACACAATGCCAACATTCTCTAAAGACTGCAAATTGTGAAGCAAAGAAGGGTCACCCACTTACACATCTGTTTTGCACCATGAACTATTCAAGGGTAATAGCCAACACACTTAGTGCTTTTAACGTTAATCAGAAGCTGCAGCAATAGTGAGCAGCCCTGATTGCCTGAGATCAGCACATGAGCTTCAGAAGCATTCCATTTTCCCACTGTCCATTTTCAGACTTCATTTCACATTCAAGTACATGGGCAATTTGAAACCCAAGAGTCAATGCAGTGCAAAAAAAAGCTTCATAGCCCCAGAACATAACGACATTCACGTGCTAATACATTTATGTTTTTTTAAAGTCAAAGTAGTTTGAAATGCCATTTTTTCTTACGTTTCCTGCAAAGGTTGTCCAGTTTGTGTGTGTTTTAAATTGCGAAATATCATAAATACCATATTTACAAAGCACTTGCAGGTCGAGAGCCTTGGTATTAAAATCTCTTATTTCACAAGAAATGAAGTAACGCATTTGCCACAGAGTGCTGACAATAATCCCACTGTAGAGGTGGGGAAAAGACTCCCAGCATCCTTACGTTGCTTCTTCTGAGGATGCTGCTTGTTAAGTTGCTAATTATTTACGTAAATATCTAATAACAGAGGGAAATCACCATTTCATTCAATGCAACTTGCATACTGCTCACTGAATAGAAACAGCTTTCCTCACCAGGCTCAATTCAAACCAGAGGCAGATGTAAAATTATTTGTATTGATGGTTAAGTCTCACATCTGTGGTGACAGAAGAGAGAAACGAGACCAAGCCCTAATTTCTTTTTCAAAACCTGAAGGCAACGGGCAACACTAAGGAAGCACTACCTTCCCTTTAGGAACTGGGGAGGCACAGAAATAATGATGATGTGGAGAAGTGATTTCTCTCAAGTCACTTCTTCAGCAGAAGGAGAACTGGCTCTGCCACCATCTTCCTTCATCACTACAGGCGCATTCACTTCCCATCATCTCTGTGCAATAGGCAGAGCCTCTCTTATTTTTTCTTGTGATGCATTCCTGAGGATGAACAAAATGTACAGATCACACCCTGTGACCACAGAGTGATATCTAAATCATGTTTCTGGGATGCACATGCTTTCTAGGGTTTCCTCTGATGCTGCCTGGACCACCGCAGACACATGCTATCCGGCCTCTCCAAATTGCAGCCCTCCACAAGGGCACACCCAGCACACAGCCTCCTGCATCTGACTTCCAAGAGCAGCAAGGAACATACGTAGCTGGGGAAGATGTCCCTGCCTTGTCACTATCAGTGGATTGTCTTGTATCTTCCAGACTCCACGCTGTCCTGGCTATATCATTTTGGATTAATCAGGGCTGAGCTATCCAGGTCAAAAACGGGTTCATTAGGGGTAATATTCAGAACGGAGAGTTATTCTTGACAACAGAAGAAACAAGTGCTTCCCCATACTATAACCTGAAATAACACTGCAGCAGGTTTCCTATAACTTGATTAAAATCTGTAAAACTAACTAGGCACCACCAGTCGCCATAACAATCCAGCACGTATTTTCTTTTTCCTGTGCTCTGTGCTATCAAGAGACACAGAGAGGTTTTTCCATTCATTATGCAGATCGGGAAATGTGAGGTTAAAGGCTGAAAAGAAGAGCTTGGCAAGGAGCAACTGTTCTTGACTGTTATAATTATCTATGATTGTTGTTATTATTGTTCTATCATCAAAAGAAATAGCTCTATTGTTTTGCACAGCAGAAGTTGCAGGCCCTGTGATTCATTGCATGCAGTTGTACAGCACTCTAGGCTAGGCTTAAAATATGCTCCTCTATTACTCCTAAAATGACATGTGAACCTGCACATACAGTTTCCTGGGGTGGCCTCAAGCAAACCATCTCAGCTGCAGTAAGATGGATAAAAATTGTTCCATTACGGTCCGACCCTGAGCTAACATGAAGGGGATGAGAGCTATAGAAATTGCCAGGCCACAGGCTTATAGTGAGAGCATGAAAAGAAAGCCTTTCTTTCATTCCCTGGGTGCCAGTAACAACCGGCATTATGTGATGCTTGTTTTGTCCTTACATCCTGCAACACGAATGGACAGTCTCTATTAAGACCTCCACTTAAACAGCAACAGTTAGAACAAATTTCTCCACCCAGATATCCTATTGCATTGTCAGTCACACTTGCTATCTGATCTCCAGGGAATTTCCAACCACTTTTTATTCTGGTTGGAGTGCAAATCCTACCACATTAGGGAAGCACTTCTGGCCCCCAGAGCAGCCCTTTTCCCAGAAATCTACATAGGAAAACTCATGGCACTCTGAAGGACCACGTGGTGGAACTGAACCTTTTCATTCTAAATCCACTTTTATTACTGTTTCCAACCATCATAGGAACCTCACAGTGTGCAAGTCAAAAAACACAGACACCAGAAATCGGCTAAGTGGAAATGCCTCTCACTTGTGATGAGCAGATCAAGCACCCAGCTGCTGTCCTCAGCATTAGCCTCTCATAAAGGCTCTGAAATCTGGATCACCTCGATGCTGCACCCATCAAACTGAAAAAAAAAAAAAAAAAAAAGCTCTAATTTTAACTTCTACAGTCTGCATCTCCAGCTTCCCTTCCTCAGTAATGCTGCCATAAGCTCAATGGAGAATACAGACACTAGTAAAGCTGCTGGGTGCTTAGGAGACCTAAACACAGGACAGCGAGCCCCTCCACAACCACATTTCTACTCTCTGCCCACTAACTGGCAACAAGGACAAAGTAAAAACCCCACTGCTGAGCCAATGGATAAGCCGCCAGGAAATTTCAAACTGCTCCAAGCATATTGGCCAACGGAAACCATGATGTAAAGTTCAGAAGAAGGTCACTGCTTCAGAATCTATTTCTAAAGAGAGATTTTGTTATGGTTTTCTTTTTGCATGCATGCCTCAATACAGCTAGAGTACCAGAGACAGACAGAGAAGAAGGGTGGATGTATAAAAGACATCCAAAATAAATTTTGAAGTACTTTTTGCCTGGGTGGTTCAGGCACATATTTTCAGCCTTTGGTACAATTTGTGCATCTGAAAAACTTTACAGTGTTGGGCATTAAAGTAGCTTAAGTGTCTCCCCATGTTCTGCACAGCTGATAACCCACTTGCATCACAAGGCTGGGAGAGCTGGACTGAGAATCTGCAGCTGCCTGACAACATTCAGAGGGTTCAGTCTGAATTTGGAGACTTCATCTTGCATACTCACATTTTAAGGCTTTGACTGAAGAGTCACTCAGGGATACTCCATGTGATACATGGAAGAGCTAGGACCAAGCCTCAGATATGCTCATGCATCCATGTCAAAAAGACCTCATGAAGGCCTTGTAAAAAAAAAAATCTTTCATGAAAAGATTTGGAGATTCAAAATGTAAGTTCTGGCAACCTAGAGATGGGATCGCTTCCTTGCAATGAGACTTTTGTCTCCTTCTGTTTCTAACTGGGCTACAGCTTGGTATGTGGCCACATTGCTTGCAGGTTCCCTATGTGGTGTCATAACACAGCAGCATTACATTGAAGTGGGTACTTACTCCTTCATTAGGACTTTCACCTTTGTTTTAAGCGACACAATAAGACCACCCTAGGTTTTCTGCCAGAAGCTGTGCGTTCTGCTTTGACTAAGGTCCTCAAGGAGCTCTGCACATGCTAAGACAGCAGATTAAAGTCTTTTTTTCTTGCACAATTTGGATGTAGACTTAAGTTTTTCAGAAGTAAAATAGAAATATGACACCAGTTCAACCCGTTGTTTTCCTCTCCTCATGCTGTATTTCTATATTTGAAAGCTATCATCCCACATTGAAACTCATCTCTTACAACAACCCATAATCATCCATGTGGCTAAATGGATCAAGCCCACATAAATACTGTGTGGGATCACAATGACAGAATGCAGGTTCAGAGATGATACAACCATCACAGCTAAACCGCTGAGAGAGCTGTCAGTCTGAAGGTCGCCTGTAATCCTACTGGCTGTACACACACAATCTGCTAACTGGACACTAAGGAGTTCTTGCTGGGCTGACAAAATATTTACGCACAATCTGTTGCAGACCCTACCTGGGCTTCTACTTCTTGTGAGGTGATCACTTGAAACTTCTCTAAAGTACAGAGCAAAGACACATGACTGAACACAGTGAGAAAAAACAACTCACAGTGGAAATCTGGGAGGAGAGCAACACCTCTCTCTGTTGGTGGGCAACACCAATGTGGAGCCCTCTGATAAAGAAATAAATAAATGGCTTATGGGTAAGAAGTGACAAAGGATAATTAAAATTATATTTAACTTTATCATTGCCTTTCTTTGGTGTTTTCTGCAATGCTAATGTCAAAAGATTAATATGTTTACTGTGTAATGGTAACCACAATTGCTTCCCAAAGAACATTCAGTACAGCACCATTGCAGGTCCCCCTCTACCACCACAGCATTTTTCCATGGCATCCCCCTGGGGACTGTCACAGCTGAGAACACCAGCATGTAGTTCTCAAAGCATTAGATGTCCTTCCTGGAGAACCAGGCCTGCAAACAATATGGGAGGAAAAATAGACATGTTGTCTACCAGAAAAAAAAGAGATGCATCATGCAATCATGGGCTACAAAGCAATCTAGGCCACCAAGGACAAAACTTTTACATCCCTGCTCAAATCAGTATTAAACTCATCCCGCTATCTAAAATATTATCAGTAGGAGGAAAAGCAGGTTTACAGATTAGCCATAGAAATGTTCCATACCAACACTGAACTACATGCCTGTGACCTTACAGGCATGCACAAAAACTCACACAAGGGTTTTCACCGGAGCCAATCAGCAAGCATTCAGCCAAGTGGCTGCCAGTCGCCCCAGATAAAAATGCTCATCACACTGCAGTCTGGCTCACTGTATGTTAAGCACATTCAAGTGAGAACCTGAGTGATTCGTCTGGGCTATTTTCATTTTTGGGACATGAATTTGACCTCAGCCATTTGTCTGAGCTGATCCCTTTTCTGAGTGACTATCAAACTTCTCACAATGGCGGGAGGAAGATCTCCTCCTAGGCATAGCAGGAGCTCAGGATGTGTCAGATAAACGCATCAAAGAGGAGATTATTCCTGAATTCTAAAAGCCCACTGGAAATATATATGACATCCCCAAGGCTGTCTGACACTAGCATCCCTCAGCTGGGGTTGTTAGACAAACAGCTCATATTTTACTTAGAGTGAAAAAACCACACACTCTATGGTTCTCCGACACTCTTTAATCTTAACACAGCTGCAAGCTTCTTTCAACAAAGAAACCTTCTGGGTGAATATGACCTTTGGATAAATCCTTGCATATTCTCTGTGGTGGCATTTATTGTTACAGTCAGGATAGTGATTCACTTTGTGAACAACCCTGGGAGGGACTGCATTTTCCAGCAGTCCCACAGACCTGTAAATATGTTCCTCCATCACTGTCACACCTGTACTGCAAAAGGGGAAAACAATGGATCAAAGGAAAATAAGATATTCTTTCACATCTTCATTTGGGTCACCGCACAGGTTAATGACCTGGAGCAGAGAGACAACATTCATATTTACAAAATATTTTGGAGAACATTAAGAAATTTTTAAAGCTGAGGCAACTGGCTTCTGGAAGGCTCTGTAAGAAGCTATTACTTTTTTTCTGGAAATGCTAGCTATCAAGGCTTAATGTGTTTTTCTCACCCAAAAGGAGCAGCAAAGCATCGCTGCTCTTGCAGAGCATTCACATTCAAAGCAGACTGTGGATGTTACAAGAGAGGAGGACAAACCAACACAAGCCTTGCAAATTAAACCATGGATCTCTTTGCATGCTTTCAGCAATACCATTACTCTTCAGCTAAAGCTGTTCTCTTGCTGTGGACAATATCGCACAAAAACAGTTTCTGTTCCTATTGCACATAAGGAAAATAATCCTCTCGGTCATTTCACCCTTGGCTCACAACACAATCCTTTTGCTGAGCCACCAAGAAGCCAGAATTCAGCCTGACCATGTAATTTGACAGGCTCCAGGCTGTCAAGGAAGGGAGGTGTCAAAACCTCCTGGGTAAACTACTTCTGCTCTAACTATTGAATGAGTTATGGGCTACTTCATGGAACACAATTCTGTCTAGAGCTCCGAGAGCTGAACTAACTTTACTCTCACCACTTGACAAAAGATGGATCAAAGAGCTGGTTCATGTCAAACTGGAGAGCTTTCTCACATCTGAATGTAAAGCAGACTTCAGAATGTTATTAGCACCTTAAGCTTGAAGGATGCGATGCTGCCAGCCTCAAGCCAGCATCTGCAGGAGATTAATTTCATGGAGACTGACAAAATAGCAGTGTTCAGATGTTTAGTAATGTATATAATTCAGACAACAGTCAGAAGCAGGCAAAAATACATATGCTGCATATGTAGGAATGATAGTCACGCAATATGTTGGTTTATGTGATCAGGCTCTGATCTTTGACTTTCCTGGCACAAACTCTGTGTTCCGACACCTGATGGTTTAAATGATAAAACGTCAAACACAAAAGGAAGAACAGTTGTGACCTGGAATGAGTTTAGCTGCGTTTTCTTGCTTTCCAGTACAAAGGAGTCTGTGTCACAAAAGTGCCCAGATTGTTTGCACTAATGAAGACATAGCTAAGAACCCTGTAGATATAAGGATCGCACCAACTGCAAACTTCAGAGAACTGCGCTGTCACAGCCTGAGATAGAAACATAACAGTAAGACACCATAAGATGCTCCAATTACTGTTGTTCATATTGTACCCACTCAACACTTCCTTCCCTAGGCTACCAGTCTAACATTTTTCATGCATTCTACATAACCCCACCAGTTCTGTTTCAGAGGGGTAGAGCCACAATTAAACGGCTCTTTAAAGCAACACTGTAATGCTGTGTTCTATAAAGTATTATAACAAGCATTATAATGAAGCTAGTTATGAAGTCTGATTGAAAGACAGAGAAACAAGCTCCTATCTTCGTAAAAGGTTGCTATTGGATGTCTATAGCAAACAAACTTCTGTTTTCAGTCAGCATCCAGACTTCCTAGGCCTTAGGGGAAAAAAAAATAAAAAAAATAAAGAAAATCAAACTTAGTTTCCTCTCAGTCAGAATCGGTTCTCAAGTCAATAAATCATAGTACTGACCACAACAGAAACCAGTAACTGTTTAAGATCTTCTTCTGGGCTTTAATTATAAACACTGAAGAAGTTTGTCAACTCCTAACTTCCTAGTCATATGGAAAAGCTTTTAGGCATTCTGCATAGACCACTGTCTATCAGGCTCATCACGGTTATGGAACTAAAACATATTCCACCAACAACGCTTTGAGCATGTACACACAGGATCTTTAACTTCGGGTACGACTTTGAACCCAGTGTCTGCATCTGCTCCAAGGATAGTGAGGACAGTGAAGATAATAAATAGCATCTTTTTATGTTGCAAGAGTTATTAATTCCAGTCCCATTGCTAGATTTTTTGCGCTCATATAAAACAGCAGCTTCCAAATACGGGGAACGTCGAGAGAAATCTCTGTGCTATTCCATAACTAGAAAGTGCTCCTGGCCAAGTACTTTATCATTTAGAAAGAAAGCATATGAATAGCACTGAGAGACAAAAGAGACAGGTGAAGGAAAACCTCTGGACTACGAGACAGCACAGTTTGTATGCAGCTGATAAGAGAAACACGTAAAGTGAATTCCTAGCCTCAAAAACCAGATGGGAATCCTGGCCAGAGACGCAGCCTGGCTACCTCGTAACACAGGCTGCAATCACGGAATAGATTACGTCAACTCAGATGGCAGCCTAAAGATCTTGCGAGAGAGTATGGTCTTATGAGATGATTCCTTGCCAGAGAAGGTCATCCTCTCATTGCCTCTGTGCCACTGGTTTGTGCAATATGCTAAGTCATGCATAGTATGCTTGCCATAGGTGACTGCTGTCTGCTTTCCTCATGCACAGGGAGTGGATGGAACACCAGCTTAAAAAGACTTTGGAGAGATCTAAGTAACCAGAGAGATAAGCCATCCAGAGATCAGAGTGCAGGTGAGTGAAATGAGAGCTAGAAGATGAACCAAATGTCTTGTTATTAATGGGCTGAAGTGATTTTATACTGTACTTCAATGTTATGCTTGTGGGTACTTTGTTTGAAATTCGAGCTTTGCCACTGTTTGCAGTGAAGAACAGGGCTTTCTGCAAACTTAAAAATCACGATGCATATGGTAGGAGCTGCACATTTCAAATGCTAACTAAGTACAGTATAATTACTACATAGGCTCTGAAGGCATATTTACAAAACCAATGGCAGGTGAAATGATCTCCTGTTTTTCAGATCTCTGTAATTTTTCTCTGATTACCATATGACCCTCAAGCCCTTTAACTGATATCTTGGTGATCCTTCCTCACATTGTCAGCAAGTTGCCATCAGCACAACAGAGAAGAATCACATAGGCAGACAGATGAGCAGAACAACAAAACAGGCTTTCAAACCCACTCAGCATGAACCTTGATTTCAGAGAACAAGGTATATTTTTTTCTTGTATATTCACTCCTGCTGTCCCAAAAGCAAGCCTTCTATAGTCTATACCTTGGTCTGGTATTAAGTTTTGACTTTTTATTATGTTTTTACTTGCCATAGACACATTACTGCATGAAGTATCAGCAGGCTGTTGTTTAGCTGGGCCTTAAAAGAGCAGAGACCTAGTTCCTTAAAGAGTAGCAATGCCTTCTTCTGAAAGCTTTAGAAGAATGTGCACTTCAACCAGAACATGACAGTACACTTCTTGTGCATCTGAAACCTCTTAAATAACATCAGAAGGACTTGAGCTTCAGGCACAGAACCAGGCACTTTCAGATTTTAATCTCAAATTTACCCTTGGCTTCCTGTACAGCAAAGGACTCTTTCTTCATTTCAACAACTTTAAACCAAGGTGCAGTGAGAATTAAATGTTTACACTGCAATTTGAAAATATAAAGTGCTAAGAAGGAGCACTTAGGAAATGAACTTTGTAAACTTCTTCCTTGCTTCCATGGCATCCACCATTCTCAACAGCCTCTTATTTCATGTACTCATAGAGTACATAACCTTAAGCACTCAGTCTGCAAACTACATACCTCACTTCAGAGCTGATGTACAAAAATCAGCTGTCTGAATACCTCAACACTTATGAGAGCTTCCTCTGGACTGATCATAGGAGAAATGACTTGTTAATTTTCACATACTGACTTTATTTTAGCTTTTATGTTTTAGGAATATTTTACAAACAGACTATTGGTTATAGAAGTACCCAGAAATGCAAGAAAACACACAGCTCCAACTCCCTTCAGCATCCCCAGCGCATTCCCCACCAATTTTAATTTTAACTGGCTTAAATGGTGGAGTCAGAGGGAGACTTAAAAGCTTTCATCCTCTTTATATCACGATGAAGATGTGAAATCACTGTACCTGCTCTCACATACAGAGTCCTTCACTTGGATACAAATAGATCCCTCTCATAGATCCCTCTCACTCCCTTTGGACGAGGAAGGGATAATTTGCTGTATATTTCAGAACCAGTGGCATTTTAGTTCCTGCCCTGCTCCCTGATGGCACACTCAAGCTCCAGCCATTAGCCCTCTCCCCATATTAGCAGAAATCTGCTCTGATGAGTTTACCAGAAGCACAGATAAGCATAGCTGAGCCGTGCACACACATTTCTAAGTAGCACCTCAACAGTTTAAAAGGTGAGTGAACCTGAACTGATTAGCACTGTGTAGCTAATCAGAATTAGTTATTCTGATGGTAAATCTCAAGATGAGTAAATACCTATTCCTGTATAAGCACAAGTGCCTCCACCCATTCTTGCTTTACTTCCAGCAAGTCTTTTTTTTTTTTTTTTTTTTAATAGCACTGCTCAGATATTCTGGAGTACAATAACACCCTGGTGTTAAGATCTGAGCATCACAAGACCTCATCAGCAACAGCTGTGTGCTTGCAGAAAAACAGGCTGTGTCTGTTTATCACGCTCCATTGCCTGGCACTCACCTGCATTTGCTCTTGATGCTCTGCTGTCAAGGGAGCTAACGTTCTGCAGGTGGAATGGCAGCAGCAAGGGGCCTTCTGAAAGAGCTTGAGCTGTGCAAGGAAATTAAAGAGGCAGTGGGCACAAACTGGAATACGTGACCATCAGGAAATATTTCTGTGCTCATGAATGATGCAGCACTGGCATAGGTTGAGTGGAAGCTGCAGAGTCTCCTCCTTGGAGAACTCCAAAAGTGCCTGGATGTGGGCCTGGGCACCCTGCTGTGATTATTTCTGCTGGAGCCCAGGCTGCACCAGATGGACAAAGAGATCCCTTCCCTCCTCAACTGTTCTGTGATACTGTTCTGTGAGCCCTTACAGGGAAGGGCAGAGAGATCATCACTACAAATTGTGTTTGCCATAGATAGCTACCAAGAATCTCACAAAATGTAAAGATCCCCACTGATCTGTAAGACTGGGAACAGATTTCTCTGCAAAAAAAAAACAACCAGTGGAAAGATTACAATTCAGTCTAGCCCATATAAAGTCTCAAGAACAACCCTTTCACAAGTGGCAAGTCAGTTCTCCACCACAGCAAAAGCAGGCAGGATAAGCTGTTCTGGGCTGTCAAAACCTTCCTAAGGCAAACTTTCTACAAAAGTTTTTTTGTACTCACGTCCTGCTTTGTCTGGTTATCCTGCCAGAAGCATAAATGAACTCATAAGAATAACAGGAGGATTAGGTTAAGCTTATTTTTAAAATGTTTCCCACAAATTCATCTCATTTGCCTGCTTATAAACACCCTCGTTCATCTTTGCTGTGTGTCTAATTAGGCAGGATATACTGCAGGTGGCTTAAAATAGGAGCTGAAATATAGTAGCTTTGCAGTTATGCATGTTAAAAGAAAGGTAATTAAAATTTCATGCTATGAGCTGTAAACTGATCATCTCAGGGGCCTGAAAGGGATTTCTCCACCATATATGACATGGCACAGTTGGCCAGCTACAGTATGGGTGGGTTTCCTCTTCCTTGCAACAATTATTAGCTTCAGCCCAAGGCAGAATATGAGAAGTGATGGGTTGGTTGCCTGAATTATTTATTCACGGAAATAGCAACATTTTATTTTTATTTCAAATCAATACTGCAATAAATTAAAACATAAAAAGCTAAAATTAAATAAAAACACATCTAGCAAGGAAAGCCTTGCCATGAGCATGTCCTGGAAGCTAATTAGAGTGAGATCGAACAGAGGCTTGGACTCTGTAGCAGCCATAGTTGAAATTCTACACTATCTGAGAGAGGCACAAAATACACTCTAATGATGCTGACAGCTTTTCTGAAGAGCATCCCTCCAAAAGCAGGATTTACTTTTGCCATTCAAAAGAATACTTCAGAGTAGCAAGTATTTTTACTTGGGGAGTGGATCAAGTTGCACTAGCTGACAGGTGGAGCCTTTTAAAACAGTTCCACAAGGGAGGATACCGCTCTGCTTTCCTAGTAGTTCCTCCCCACACCTGCTCTACTCTTCTTTTAAAAATGATGCATTGTATTACATTACTGAGACATCAGGGATATTTTCCAAAAAGTTAAAGGGCCCTTTCAAAAAAATATTTACACAGCAGGGATGTGCTTTTGCTTCGCCAAAAAGTAACAGTTGTAGTGCATGCTCATGAGTGGCATGAAGTGGCACTTTAAGAATGCAGTTTTAATAAGGAGCTTGAGGACGGGCAACTCTGTATTATAAAAGCGATGCCAGGGATGTTGTTAAAAGCCTATCAGATAAGGTCAGAAAAAAGTGAGGGATGGCTGTACCAGGAGTTGCAGAGTATTTCTATGAACACCTCAGAGCTGAGAAGAAATACGAGTGACCTCAAATCAGTGAAAAATAGGAGTGACCTCCGAGTTGCACGCAGCCAGCCAAATTACATTGTCTGCTTCGCAAAGCCACCTCTTAGATTTCACAAGCAGCGGGCAGACAGGATCTGGGAACCCCAGTCTGGATGCATTTCACTTTTTGTCTACTCCAGTAATGAAAGAATCGTCCATCTCTGAACCAGTTTAATCTGTGGGATATAAAGTAGCAGAAAGACTAGTCCAGGGCTATGAATGCACAGATCTGTGTGCTAACCCTGCATGGGACAGGGGCAGCCACAACGATGAAATCACTTTCTTCAGATATAGCAAAGTTCCCATGGTCTTCAACAAACCAGGATTTTATCTCACAACACCAGGGCACTGTGGACCAAAGTCAACGAAGCAAACAAATTAAATCAAAATAAATTAAAAAAAAAAAAAAAAAAAAAAACTTCTTTTAAAAGAACCCAGAAAGAACAATTTCTGCAAATGCTTTCCATATTGGCAAATGAGAAGTGCATTTATGGCACTCTACTTGTTCTGTTAGATCTCTACCCCTTTCCTGCCTTCCCTACCATACTTTACAATCACTTCTGTCATAGTCAAATTGACCTTACATTTTCACAGAGAGTCTCACATCTGTCAGACAGAGAGCAAAGTAGAAGACAATATTTTGTTATGAAACACCTGACTTGAATTTCACTGAGACGGGTAATAAACCAAAGACAAATGAAGTTTTACTAGGCAGAAGCAGGTTTTTGTAATAAGCCTCTGCATGCATGATAATCACAAATTGAGCTCTTTCCTGGCAAAGAGCAGAAGAAAAGCCTCATATTACACTTGCAAGCAGTAGAAAATAACATCTCATTCAGTAAAGAGACAGCATCAGGTAGGGTTGTGATCACATAATTAGGTAAGAGAAACAGCCACATTCCAGACATGCCATCCTTTGAAGCAAAGGAAAATTCTCTAAGTTTTTATCACAGAATAGTACGTTACTTCATCCAGTCTTCCTATAAAAATATTTCCTTGTTAAAAAATAAAGTAAAATCATTAACTTTCCATGTAGGGAAGCTCAAAGTGGGTCACCGGGGAAGCATGCATTTTTTTTTTTCTGGCTGGAAGTAAGCCACAGATGGTCCCAGGTGAATGGTGTCTGTCCAACACCACAGTCTTGTCAGATTTTGGAGCCCTCTCCACCCTCATCCTCTCCCCTGCCCATTCCCAATACCTCAACAGGAAAGGAGACATCTGTGAATCCTCTGGCACTGCTTCAGTATTTCACAGCTGTAATAACTACTGATACAAAGAGAAGAATGTTTTCTAGCCCAAAATTCCTGAGGTATTTTTTCTAAACAGACACAAGTGGATGAGACTTGGTTATGTGAAAAATACCTCACCAGGGGCAGGGGTATGGGAGAAAGATGAAGAGGAATCATGATCCACAGATAACTGAGCTCAGCTTGGGTTCAGATTTATCTTTCCTGGCCATTCAACCCATTTGTCCAAATCCAAGCTTTTGATCCTTAAAACTAAGCAGTACTTTTCTGGCAGCCTGCACTAACTCTTGGCTAATTCAGATGAAAAAAATACTGCATGAAGAGGCTTAGAACAGTGGTGATCTATAGATTTATATGTATACATAAGGTGGTATTTCTACAATACTCTTATCAGAATACAGGTAGTAAAGTTCGATCCTTGTTGCTAGGAATTGCAAAGTTCAGACACCACAAAGTTTCTTTTCTCCTATCTGTTGGTGCTGTCAGCTACCAGCACTCAGTCCTGGTGCCTCTTACCTGTGTCAGTGAGTTCATCATGACATTCCACAAGATTCACAAGTGTGACTCAGCGGCAGACATTCAGAAATAGTTTTGGGAGTAATGTCATTTCCCATAAGGGCACAAAGTCCAGGCAGCCCAGCCAGATAGATAATGCTTTCCCAAGCACCTGTACTTTTGTAAGGCTTGGCAACAGCAGCTCTCTTGTTGCCTACACATTCAGGCTTTTTTCTTTTTTGCACAGTTGTCCAGTATAGAATGCAAAAAAATCACCTTGTGTAAGTAGAATGACATAAAGCAGAGTATTTCTGAACAGAAAGCTTGAATTATTAAGCATTTAATAATACAAGCAGCTAAAACTTGGGATCACTACACATAGATAAAAGCCTCACTGACACTGAACAGAGCAGAATGAGAAGGGGAGCATCTAGCTCATGGGAAACTCAAGTCCGGGTGAAGATTCCCTTCAAAAAAATATGATTATAATGTCAAATATTTTTAAATTCCTTCTAAACCAGAAGCTCCCTGGGCCACACAGCTGCTCAGCGTGAATTTGCCCAAGAAGCTGAGTAAATTGTTTCAACCTGAGTTCCTCTCTTCTGTGGTTACACTGCTGTTAGTAACCAGGATTAGGGTCAGATTCAGAAAGGAGGTCAGGCAGGAGCATTGTTACCTCATCATGAAGGCAAGCAGGAGCAAGAGGTCTCCACATGGGCACCATCCACAGCTTCAGACTACTGTTACATTTTTCAAGCTAATACTACTAGCTCTGAGTTGAAGTGGGCACAGGCCAGCTGTGCCATCAGGAGACACAGCTGTTGAAGCTGCGGTAGGGGCAGGAGCTGCCCCAGACAGCATTCAGAGCTACAGCCACCCTTTGAGTGCACCACAAGAGCCCCAGAACTGCCTGACCTTAGCTGGAGCAGCACAGGAATCTGCCGTGCCCACATCAACAGCCAGGAGCAGAAAACCTCGCAGGGAGGATTTTGCAATATGCACCCTTGGCAGAAAACAGAAGGCTACAGAGATCCTAATTCCAACCACTCCTTGAACACGAAGAGGGCCTTTCTTGAAGTCATTCTTCAGCCAACATTTCTTTTGCACTACCCCGCTGAGTGAACACAGAGGCATAACCACATGAATTTTACAGCTGTAGGACATCATTGTTAATGGGAGAAAAAGCCCTAAAAACTTGCTTCAAACCCTTGTTCTCTGTCTTTCAAATAGAGCTCGTAATTAACTTAGCAGTCCTGCAGCTCACATGTTCTCTGCAGCCATTCATGGCATATCTGTCAAACCTAATAAGAGGGAGCTGATGGACTACACAACATTGCAATTTATGCACTGATGCTAAACAATAACATTTTCTCTAGTTAAGTGGAAAGTTTCAGGAAAATTAAGCATCTGAAAACTTCACTGCACAAGGTACCTGAACAATAAACTCACTAATTCATTATGCTGGAATAAAATCAGCACTCTCAAGGAATATTTAAGACAAGAATTGCAGAGTAGATTTGCAATTCCCAAATGCCTTTGAGTGATTCAAGTGAATGAATTACAGAATCACAGAATTGTTTGGGTTGGAAGGGTCTCTTAAAGGCCCTCTAGTCCAACTTCCCTGCAACAAACAGGGACATCCACAGCTCCATCAGGTTGCTTAGAGCCCTGTCCACTCTAACCTTGAACGTCTCCAGGGATGGCACATCCACCACCTCTCTGGTCATCCTATCCAGTGCTTCACTGCCCTTATGCTAAAAATCTTTTCCCTCTTATCCAACCTAAATCTACCCTCTTGTAGTTTGAAACCATTTCCTCTTGTTGTATCATTAAGCTATTATCTAGTCTTAATCTTAATCTTAGTCTTAATCTTTATCTTAACTAGCTATATAGTTAATTAGCGTTCATCATAAGATGTGGAATATGATTAAATTTAGGTGTTTAAGACAAAAAAAACACCTCTTACAACGATTAAAATAGAGAAAAAGAATAACTAAGTTTTTTGCATGCTACTGACAATTAAAAAATGTAATTCCATAAATAACAAAAAATTAACAGTAGAAGTAATAAGAAAAAGACTTGTCTCAAGCACAGTTTTTCCAGTCTCAAATAGAGAGATCTACTACATGGCAAAAGCAAGACATGAAATATTTTCCTAAATCTATGTCAGTAGTTGGAGCACTGAGCAACGCCTGACCAGTCACTGCTGAGCTCAGCTGCCCTATATATGCCTTACAGATGGGTGATACGCTGATATCATCTTGATGCCACATTCCAATTCTACCAGTGACACCAAATCATTAAAAATCCTGCTTACAAGGGCAGATATTACTAGGGGTATTAAGCCCTGTGTCTCCCTTCAAGCTGTTCCCTGCAGCCCAACCAGCTCCCATGCAGAGCAGTGCTGCTGTGCTTCCATCACTCCTGTATCTGCACATCCTGCTGGGTGCTGCCTGCTCCTGTGTCTCCCAGAGAGGCTTCCAAGAGGCACCGGCCACAGTTGAGCAAAGGAGGCACAGGCTATACCATGAAGCTGACCCCAACACTACATAGCTCACCAGGCTCACTGGGGCTGAAGTCAACTCCATGCCCCTGCTCCTGTGCAGCTCGATTATGCACAGTGAGATTAGCCATGGGGAAGGGCTCACTGAGCACTAGAAGATCTCTTCATCAAATCCCCAAACCGTTAAATCCTTATTCAAGAGCTTAAAGAAAGAGTACCAAGATGATTCTTGATAATGTGATGAGTTCTTTGCGTTAACAGCAGCATAACAAGATGATATCACTTATTATTACTGCTGCTTACGTTAAAGGGCAGCTTCAGAAGTCTGAGAGCAAGCTTTATTGCGTGCATGACCAGAATATTCCCCTCTAAAAAAACTGGTTATGTTCTGGCAAAGCGTAATCCAGGATTCTTTTCCAGATTTCTAAATACAGAGCAGAGGTAGTGGTGACAACTATCACTTCTTAATCTCTTCTTCACATGGAATTTACTAAAATCTCCTTTACCAAAATCTTTAAAATTGTCTCCCTACTTAAACTTGCCTTCATGAAGTTCAATCCTAAGACTTATTTTAGAGCATTGCTCAAGAATACTGAACAACTAGCAAGGCATTAAAAACAAACAAAAAATACCAATCTCAAACTAAACAAAACAAAATTAGAAGCCCATAAAACATGTCTAGTCACAATACAAAGAATTAAAAGAGTGGTATAAAATTAAGTGCCAGAATTGCTAGCTGGAAGTCTGGACTATTTCAAAATCCTTTCTTTTATTCTTTATTTTTCCAGGCGCTTTGCAGAGATGCAAGCCACCAAAGCTACCACATCAAAAAAAGGTGAAGGGTAAGATGCAGAATCATCATTTCTCATAAGGCATCAAAGATCTATCAAGGTCAAACTCAGCGCTTAGCTGTTCTTCATGCCTGTTACAGTTGGTACTATGGCTGGAAAGATTATTGTGGTGAAAACAGGGAAAGAAACAAACAGGGAAGGAATGCTCACCTGTATCCAAAGATGTAGGTTCACAGAAAAGACTCCACAGAGGAAGGATCTCAAACAAGAGACCCTCCCCCAGTGGCAGTCAGCTCTTAAATGGGGGCTAGGAGGTGCAGCCAGGCTCCACCCTTTGGTCACACTGCTGAATCGCCTTCACCTGTGCTCCCATGGCTGCTGACTCAGTGCTCGCTTCAGGTGAGCAATCAGTGGCTCAGGATGGGACTCAACAGTTCCCATACACCCCAACAACCACACAAGAAGATCTTTATGCTTTCAAACGTTAACTGTATCCTTTTCACCTAACAATCGAGGCAATCTTGCTGTATACGTTTTTTGGATGGCTAACAAAAGGAGGAACTACAGCCGTAAAAAGAATGCGACTTCCAATGAATTTGAGATGCCTTCACAAAAATCTCACCAGTAACACAGTGTCAGACAAATGTTTGCAATGCATTGTTCGCTGCCTTTTTTGGTATTTGCAGAAAACACACCCTAGTTTGTAAGGTTCCTGCTGAGTTTATTTCTATTTCTGAGAATTCTTATTAGCAGTAGGTCACTAAAAGAGCAGCATAGTGAAAATGAGACGATGTTGATAATATAGGCAAGAATAACCAAGAAAAAGTAATCCTTTGAGAATGAGGGATTTTAAATGGAAAAAAATCCATAATATGTTGGAAATTAAAAACTGAGAATTTATCCAAATCAGAGAGGAGAAAAGCAGAAAGCTGAAAAAACCTGACCCCAACATTGTCCTTTCTTCACTGCCTTTTGTTACCTGAAGCTTGTTCACAATAAAAAAATAACTGGAAAAATTTAGTTAAACCAATAGTGGTGTCTCTGAAAAACATTCAGGAAACAGGCAGCTCCTAGAAGTACTCATATTTTATATGTAAACACACACATATATAATTATATATATAAATATTTCTAATAAAAAGCTTCCCAGAGCTTTCTCAAATGTGTGTTAACCTGCTTGGAATAATTTCCTAGTAAGAAAAAAGGCCGTGATTGTTGAATAAATTATTTGTTACAACTTTGTCAGTTTTTTACAAGCAGCAACATCCTACTAAATGTCTGCATTTATTTCTCACGTATATTTTATCTGTGACTCCCATATTTTGATCTGAATATTCTAACAACTGGTGATATTTAAATAGAAGCAAATGTGGCAAAACAGCCACTTCTGACAGGATATGATGGTCCTTTCAATGTAAATTCTCCTAAGAGAAAAATAAACTTTTCTCCAAAAGGACGTAATCTAATTAAATACTTGCTTGATGTCAGTGTCCTTCCAGGAGAGGAGACAACATTGTAAAGGAACAGAAATGCTTAATGGTTATTCTCATGTGCAAGATTTTTTTTTTCTGTCTGCTCTAGCCAAAATGTAAATCATTTTCCACTGTAGTGTCAGGGAAGTGTATTGCAGTAAATCAATCACAGACTACTTTTAAAAAGGGACAAAAAAAAATCAACTGCAAAATGAAACAAATCTCCGTATGCCTGTTTTCCATTTGTATTGTCATCACTTACCTTCAGAGAACGATGGAAGTGAGATGGGAATGCTGCTGAAATGCATCCAACAGACTCTGTGTGCATGTGTTAGCAGCTCTAGCGGTCTCTGCTGTGTCCCCAGCCATTGGAAAAGACAAAGCATTACAGCCTACCCAAGGTATAATTTTTACTTTTTGCTGGGCTGCTGAGCTGGGATACTCTATAGGAAGCTAAACGCAGAAACACAGAGACAAGCTGTGTGGTTTCTTTTAGCATTTCCTAGTACTCAGTACTAGTACTTCTGCTAGGGTAGATAAAAGTCTTTCTGCCTCGTTATAAAAGAAGAGGAAAGGCAATTCACGAGGGAAATGGAATCATTTTAGAAAGCTTTTCCTAATAAGCTCAATAGTTGAGCAGATGTGTGTGAGTGGGGAAAGCTGGGAGCTCAGAGAGCAGGCAGCTCCATCCGTCATCACACAACTGTGACTCGGCTTGCTTTTATCTTTTATGTCAGGCAATCAAATGAAAAGCCAATTTTATTTACTGAGTGAGGGGCAAATAAACTCATGCCAGTTAAAGAACAGAAATGATGTATCTGTGGTTTAGACTGGAAACATTTTAAAAATAAAAACTCTTTAATAGTTCCCTCAGACAAGACTTCTAGATCCTCTTCTGTCTTTGTTTGCTCCTAGGGCAAGATGGGCATGGAGTAAACATTTTGTTAACTCTGTCCTTTCAAATTTTCACACCCACAAACTACACCATCCGAGAGGAAGAAGTAGTGCTTGATGTCTCTGCTTTGATTAAGTCAATTTCAAAACCTTTTCGGGAAGAATTCTCTGGACCACAAGCAATAGCAATTAAAGTCAGCCTAAGCTTTACAGCTGACTTTGAAATTAGAAGGTGCTTACCAAAATGTTTTGAAGTCTTTTGTTACTTTCCCCCTTCTCTCAGTCTCCAAAAGCACTTTTCTTTCTCTAAGTGGTCTTAAGTCTGCCTTTCTCCCTGTTAGCTGCTACAGTCCTTATTAGCCTAGGACTATCATTTTGTGATCCCTGTGTCAGAAAAGTGTTCCATAATGTACCTGCAAGTGTAAGTGTAAGCCTGTTTACTAGTTCTGCTCAAAAACAGCTCAAAACACGCACTGAAATTACTGAATTGGGTAAATTCGGTGTGTTTTTTTTTCCTCACACAATAATTTTTTCCTCCTCCTCAGCAAGCCACACTTACCGGTAAAAAGTTGTGTAATCCACCGTTGAATGACAGCTCTGAAAATCCCAGGCTTTGAGCTTCTGGCATTCCCTGTGAGCCCGGAGTTTCACCCTGACAGTCCCATGGCAGAGCTCAGGCACAGGTTTCCTCTGCGGGCGACTGCAGAACTCATTAGACTCCACACGCCAGGATTCAGCAAAGTCGTCCACGTCAAACTTAAAATTCCCATCCCCCCCCAATCAGGTCATCTCGCTTGTGCCCATTGTAGTTACCACACAGGCCACAGAGTTTGCCCTTCAGATGCGGTGCAGCCATGACTTCCACAAAACTGTCTCCATCCCATGAGATTTCCAGGCCTAACAAAAGAAAGAGATGAGATAAAAACACAGAGTTTCAAAAAAGAAGAAATTGAGGCTAATAAACTGTACCTTATATATGTGAAACAGTGTTCAGAGGAACCTAAACAAAGCTATTGGTTTCCTCCTGATATACTGTTAGATTTCTATTTACCTCTCAGTAGGCACCTCTGGCAAGTGCAGTGTTTCTTAAATCACTGTTGATTACAATATACTTGTCCCTCTCTGTGTTTACTTTTCTTCCTCCTTGCTATTGGATGGGGTCATCCTAAAAAAATCTGGATCCAAAGCAGAACTGCTCTCAACACTGAGTGATGGCTGTTGTGTAAGTCAGCAAATTGAATTTTCTAGGGCAAATTTCTAGTGGATTTCAGTAGGGCCACAATTTCAGACTGTCACCCGCTGCACAGGTCATGGGTGTAAAAAGGTAACCGTGCCCTATGGGATCTGACAGTGAATACTTCCTAGAAAACATTCTTTTCTTATCTAAGGAGCTGATAATTATTTGGGTAAAGACAATAATTCCAAAATCAGTACTTTGTGTGAATAAAAAGAGATCAAAAATGAAAGCAAAAAGATGCCAGATGAGTAAAACTGCTGCAAGAAAGCATTCTGAAGTGGATTCAGATGGTTCATTCAGAAGGTGTTCTTTACCAATCTTTTGAAGGTGACTTGACAAGTCAGCAGCATTATGGAATGGCAGTAGACACAGAACATCCATCTAGAGGCCAGGATATGAGTGTCATGGTACAATCTATTTTACAGTAAGGTTTCATACTTCCAATGCATCAAAATTAAAATTGCTTTCTACGTGTGAAATCTGTTTTATGTCTATACCCATGTAAAAACTGAATGTCTAGCTTTATGCCTCTTTAATGGAGAGAAACAGGTAGTTCAGGGATCACAGCATGGATGTCTAATACAGTGGGAACAAACTACCTCCTGAATGCCCTTCTGTTTCCAGTGACATTATACAGTCCAGAAAGCAGGTGGAGCCGAAAATTATAATTTTAACCTGAGTTACAATGAAGTGAATTCTATCCTCTTATATGAAGTGAATTCTGTCCTTGGAGCAATGCATACGTATCTCATAAAGGAACGCAATTTTAGTATTATATGTGATAAAAACAACACCAAGTATCACTTAACTTTCATCCCAAAATGGCCCTTCCAATGTCTGATGAATGCTAACACTTTGCATCTCTGAAGTGCCCTTCCATCTGAAGACCACAAACCACTTTGCTGATGTTAATTTATTCCCATAAAGTACCCACGTGTGGCAGTTATTTAAGGATAAACAAAGGAACCTGCTTTTAAACAGGATAATCCAGATTTCTCTCTCCTCTGTGTCTGGCCAAGAATACCAAACAGCACCGCTTTGTGGTGCAGGACCAGGGATTTGCTCCAGATTTCTACATTTGCTCTGTGGGCTGGCTTAGCACCACCCTTTCCTCTTGTAAATCAGCACTTGTCACTGTGCAATCCAAATCCTTCTCTGTGCTCATGTAAGTAATTAACATACCAGCGATTCAGTTCAAAGCTGGAGCCCTTTGTTTAGCAACACATCCCATTCTCTCCTATGCCAATTCCTACCTGTGCCACAGAGGATTAGGGGGAGGCCTAATGGGCAGTGATCACAGAATCATTAAGATTAGAAAGGATCACTAACATCATCTACTCCATGCATCAACTGCCAGAGCCCTTCAGTGGCTGCAGAAGGGGTGCTTTGCCATCAGTATGGACTATCCTCTCCCTATGTGATTTACACTACCCCTAGTGTTTGGGAGAAGATTTATCCAGCAAGGTTTGCAGATAATTCTGCATCAGTCAGTCTCCACGGACTATTTCATCATGCTTTCTTATTGTTATAGATATGCAATGATACTACTAATATATTCTATGATGTTGCTTGAAAGCAGCTTCAAATTCTTTCATCATCCCAGAACGCATAGGACCACTTTCTCCTCCAGAGGCATTTTT